GTTGTCACTTAATGTATGTTTTTTTTTTCCTCTAATATAGAAACATAACTTATTAAGCACTGTTCAGGCACATTGGGGCTATGAACTAGGAAGTTTGCTATTATGTGTGTCCATGGTAACTTCATTTCTCTTAAGGTCATGGAAGTGGCTTTGACAGCAATAGGAAGGGTGACAATTCAAGAGATGTTGGCCAGTGTATTTGAGAATTTGAAAAGTCATTACCAAAGAAAAGACTGATTGTTATGAGTTCTATATCTTTTTGCTAGTCAGGGCTACAGCTATTTAGCACTTTTTATTAATTAATATATTTTTAGTTTTCAACATTCACTTCCATAAACTTTTGAGTTTTAAATTTTCTCTCCCTCCCTGCCTCCCTTCCCAAAACAGCATGCAATCTGATATAGGCTCTACATATACATTCCTATTAAACATATTTTCTCATTAGTTATGTTGTAAAGAATTAGAACCAATAGGAGGAACCACAAGAAAGAAGAAACAAAATGAAAGGAAAAAAAGCAAATAGTATGCTTCGATCTGCATTTAAACTCTTACATAGCACTTCTTTATGAAAAGCTTCATTTGTTTATTAAGCAGCGGCATCCCTGGGGCTAGCACTGACCAAAAGCATCTATTGGGTTTATCCCACACATATACAAATTTTCACATGCATCTAAGTGAAACACCAACTTGGTTACTAGATACATCCCCCAATTAAGCATGTAAACCAAACCCAAACCTAGAAGTGAATTTGACAAGAAAATAGCCCTCTCTGTGGAATGCCAAATATGGGCTCTGTCTGATCTGCCCATAGATGGATCAAAACTGATTCTTTAGCTTTGTGGATAGACAAAGGAAAGGTATATACAGTATTTACACCTAGCTTCTAAAATTGGTTCTTAAGTGAATGTTGGTAAGGGCAGTTAACTGGTTACATAAGATCTGGGTGGATCTTAGATTTCAGGCTTCCTGGGAATTTCCAAATTCTAATTATAGCACCAGGTCTGGTCTGAAGCTCCTTACGTTTAGAAAAATGGGGAGATTTGAGAAAAGGAGGGAAGAAAGAAAATAATAACAGCAAGTGCTTGTTTCCCCATCAATCATGTGAAATAAGAAGAGCAAGTACTATTATCTCCCTTTTACAGATGGGGAAAATTGAGGGTTAGAGAAGTTTCATGATTTGCCCAGTGTGAGAGTTGCATGAAGTAATACGTCTAGGATTCAAACTCAAGAGCTCTTACTGCAAGCCAGGTGTGCTTTCTACAGTACTAGCAAATGTGAATTTAAAGTGGTTGCTGATGTGCCTGGCACATAGCAGGCATTTAATAAAGGCTCGTTGATTGACTGCTGATTAAATTAAAGGTGAGAAGGCTGAGAGGTGCTTGATAGTTGGGGGGGGGTTAAGTGTGCAAAGTGTGCCAGCTTTAATCTTTGCTGAGAAGAGAAGCAAGAGTGAAAGCTGACTTCCATTGGAGGGGGTAGATCTTAGGCCAGATGTCTTCTGATTTAATTCAATTCAACAAAGTCATTAAACACCTACTATGCAGAGCACTGTGTTAGGATTTGGGGGAGATATAAAAATTGGTAAAACTTTGGCCAGAGGTGAAATGATAAATATAAAAATAACTACAAAACAAAATAGAAGGAAAGCAATAAATTCCTAGGAAAGATACCAAAGTGCTCTCTGAGTTGTGAGGAAGGAAAGGTCATGTATTACTGGAGGAAATCAGGGAAAGCTAGGTCTTGAGTAGCAAAAAGATGTAATTCTGCACAGTAAGATGAGACCTGTAAACACAGAATGAAAGAACTAAGGAAAAAATAATAATCCATGTAAGTTCTCTCCTTATTTCTTCTTCCCCAACCTGCCTATCTCAGCTTTGATTTTATTGATTTATATCAGGGGAGAATTTTCTTTTACTTTTTGTATCCTAAATTATCCAGATTCATTCAAATTCATTTCACTTTACTAATATCTGCCAGACAAAAGGGCACCAGTATTGTACAAAAATGGTACATCAGTACTTTACTATAGACTAGAAGTCTCCTAGGCCACCCAAAATGGAAAGGCTTGGAGTACAATCCCAGGGATGGGCTATAGGCCTATTGTCTAAGGATCGGTCTTTGTCAAAGATTAGCTAAGTTTAAAGAAGTTCAGCACCTGATGGACTATAAACTGATAAAACGTTTGTCCCTTAAAGCAATTCTTTAAAGACCATTTACCAAGTTGAAGAGGAAGTATGACCGGTATTGGTGGAGGAAAGACTATACCAATAAATTACACTTCCTTGAGGTATTGAAGAGTTGAATCACTATCTCTCTGTCTCTACAAACTCAGTTAACTTGAATGAGATTGAAAGATTTGTTATGGACCATTAACACAGTTTGACTACACAGATGGACCATACAGCTGAGTGCCACACATGCAAGTCTCCTAATAGCTAATGGAGAATGAGATGGGTAAAATATTTCAGTCCCATGACTGCTTTTCTTATACCACGTAGATGGTGGCCTCAGAGAAGTGTAAATTCACCTTCACTGGATATATTTCATAAGAGAATTGATCTTCAGATGTGTCGAAATGAATTAAGTACACTTAAGTCTCTCCCAACTCCATGAATTTAAGAAATTTCACATTAAGAGTCATGGATTTTTAGAGTTGGAAATTATCTAGCCCAACCCCTTCATTTTACAGATGAGAAAACAGGCCTAGAAAAGTGATTTGTTGAGCGTCATGTAGCTAAATATGTGACTCGAATAATAACTAACATTTATATAGCATTTTGCAGATTTTTGCAGTGCTGCACAGACACTTTCTTTTTTGCTTCACAATAATCCTATGAAGCGGGTCTGCAGCGATCATTATTCCCATTCTGCATATGAGGAAAGTGGGACCTAGAAAGGTTAAGTAACTTGCCTACAGTCACCCAGCTAGTGAGTGTCCCGGAGGGGATTTGTACCAGGGTCTTCCTGATTTCACAGCCAGCCTTCTAGACACTATGACAATGCTGGATTTTTATGATTCTGAGGCCACTGATCTTTCCACTAAATCAAACTGCTTCCCTTGCCTGTTGTAAATTGGCAACTCAATTAATATTCCTTCTTTTATCTCGAATGTTTACTGACCAGTTCCGGAAAGTAACAAAAGGAAATGTCATTTATGATCCAAGGGGAAATGGTAGATCACAGCAACAGGGCAGGAAACTGGGTGCAGGCAAAGTTGTGTTTAGTAATTAGGCCTGCAGTCCGGGAGCACAGCAATGCCAAAGGTGAAGGCAAGGTGAGAGGTTGGAAACCAGGGAGATAGTCAAGACAGCAGCCATAAGGAAAACACTGAAACCAAAGAAACTCCTACCTTAACCAAAAAGTCTTCTATGTACTTCCCACTGGGGCTCGAGTTAGTTCCCATGTATGTCTAATCCTCTTTTGGCAAAATTATAACTTGGAATTTTTGTGCCTCGGACAAGCCCCTCACAGGGCAAATGGCAAATAAAACAAAAAGCACCCTTAGATCTGGGGGAAGAAGAGAGGGACTGATTGTCTCCTCCGGGAAGAGACAGCTTTCCAGGACAAAACACCAAAGACTCAAGACCACTGCCAGAAAACCCACCCTAAAGGGGAGAGGAAGCTTTTTATTTTAACTAATTGTCCTCAATAACTAGGCGCTAAGGGCAGTTGTTTCTTCATACTTAGCAAGTAGGAAGCCGGATTACTGGGCAGAAGGGGTAGAATCTTAATTCCTAGAGCAAACATGCATTTTTTTTAAAGAGAGCTAAAAGAAAAAAGGCTTGAAGTCAAGTCTCTCCAAATCTTCAAAGTATCATCCCAACATTTGAGTTTGTAAGCAATAAAAGTTCAAGACGCCATTGGTGAACCAAAAAACATTATAAACAGCCTAGCAAGGTCAGGTATCCCATGTGTGGGCACACCTTACAGAAGGGAGAGTAAAGTTTTTTGTTCCTAGGACCAAATCGCAGTTCTCCCCGCCCCCCCATATCCCCATTAGCTGGGTAATGCAGGGTTTACAACCTATCTGGTGTGCCTAATTTCCCCATGTGAGTCTCTGCCCCCCCAATTACATCTCCCATTCCCCACATTTCCTTGTCAACAGCCTACAGCTGTCAATACCCCAGCAGCTACTTATCACCCTGATAAGTGATATGCAGAAGCAACATACCCCACCACATTTTCCACAAGTTGGAAAGGACCTCAGGGATTATCTGGTCTAACTCTCTGATTTTATAGAGGAGGAAAGTGAAGCCAGAGGAGGGAGTGATTTGTCCATGATCAGCGGTGAAAACTCATTCACCTCTTACTGTAATCAAGGCTAAGCTATGGCAGAGTCAAATGTAGCCCCAGTAAAATAAACCCACCAGCAAACTGCTAGAGCAGTAAGAGGCTTTAGAACCCCTGGTTTTTACAGAGGAAGAAAAAGAAGGCCAGAATGAGTGTCCCTGCAGGGACTGGAACTTCATTCCCATTGCCATGTTTTGTTTTGTTTTTTTCACCAGGTTGTTATGATCTATGATATAGCCAAAGCTTACTCAGTATAATCAATCTGCCAATCAACCTATTATGTTCCAGTCATTATGCTACCTGCTGGGAAAACAAAGGCAAAAATCAAATAGTATCTGCCTTCAGGGAGTTTACATTATATCAGGAGACACAGACACCTATACACATATAAGTATGTTGAAAATAAGTATAAGGTATCTGATTAGGGTTGGGGAGAGAGGTAAAGAAGGGGAAGAGGAACCTGAGAATCAGCAGTTGCTGGAAGTTGGGGGTGGGGGAGGAAGTTACTCAAGAAAAATCCAACCTTTTGCTCTCATGACTCAAATGAGCAATACAATGGTAAGCAACATTTTCTTCTCTTTCTCTTTCCTCTCTTTCCTCTCCTTCCTTCTCCTTTCCTTCCCTCTTCTTTCCCCCTTCTCCCCAATCCCCTCTTTCTTCTCCCTCTCTCCTTCTCTCTTCCCTTCTCTCCCTCTCAACCACCTAGAAGAGGACAGCCTAGAAAACTTCTTCAAGGTGAGTAGGGGCCCGGGCCTGCTTCAAGCCTATGGCAAGGTAGGGGGCAAAGTTTCTCTGCCCACCACCTTCACTCATCCTGCTCTCCATCTTTCACATTTGGAGAGCTGGATTTCATCTTCTCTCTTCCTTACACTTGGGATTTGAACCCAGGTGTTCCTGACTCCAGGTCCCGCCTTCCATTTAGTATACCAGGTTGCCTCCTATACTGGGAATATATCTACTGAATTTACTTGGGAGAGCAATCACACCATTGACACCTTGGATGCTTAATAAACATTATGCAAGGATGACAGTGACCGACTATGGCAGTGACTGATTCTAACCTTAATGTTTTCTGTCACCTAGCAGCATTTGTAATAATCTTTTGGGGAAAAAAGAATGAAATTTCAGCTGACCTTTTTAATGCACCTCGGTAAGTACAAAGATTACTTTCAAAGCTCATTTCTCTGGTTTTCCCCACAGTGCCTCAAATCATTTAGGAGAAATTTCCAAATTTCCCTGCATTTTTCTCTAACCTACATGGTTTTTACATGACAGCCCAGCTGCATAATTATTTCACATAGTCGGAAACTCTATGCAACTATGATCACCATCAAAGCAGCAATTCCTGATAGTCCATGGTCAGCCCTTTTGAATCATTGATTTGTAAACATAATGTGTTTAAAAATATAAGCTAGTTTTAGATAAAGTGGTTGTCCCAATGTTGGGGGTTTGGGAAAGTTTTGACAGTGAGAAGGCAAACTGTCTTCTCTAGGTAAATGAATGCTTTGTGTTGAGGTGTTAAGTTCACTGTACTTCTCTTATTTTTTCTAAAAGTTCAATAACATTTATATCAGTCATTGTGAAGGATATTTTCCAAAATTATTCCCATTGATCCCAAATTTTCTATAATATCAATCAGTACCATGCCTCTACTACTACATAATTACAATAATACCAATAATGACTGATATCCTGTGTTCCATTTTTCACTATCCACACAAACATGCAAACATACTCATAATCAAACACAAACCGTTACTACCTTCAAGTAAGTTTTGAGAATTAAAATGTCCTTAATTTCACCATTTTCCAACTTTCATCCAACCATTATACCCCTGTTACAAATACCAGGTGCTTAATGAAGAGTATCAGCCCAGTATTCTCAGCAATTAAGTGGTCAGGTGGCACAGTGTATAAAGTGCTGGATATGGAATCAGGACCTGAATTTTAAACCTGCCCTAGATACTTATTAGCTCTGTGACTCTAGCCAAGTCACTAAACCTCTGTCTATCTCACTCTCCTTATCTATAAAATAGGTATAATAATAGTGTAATAATCTACCTCACAGGGTTGTTATAAGGATCAAATTAGATAACATATATAAAGCAAACAATTTATAAATTTGAAAGTGTTATTTAAATGCTGGCTGCTGGTGATGGTGGTGGTGGTGGTGGTGGTGGTGGTGGTGGTGGTGGTGGTAGTAGTAGTAGTAGGGCACCTTGCTGGCAAAACTGTGTTTTGATTCCTTCCCAAAGCTTCCAGACACCTTCTGAATGTCCACAAGACATCAAGGTCTGGCTTATCATCACCCTATAACCATAATAGAGCCTTCTACTTATAACCCATCCCCAGGGTAATTTCAGAAACTTTGTGATTGTTCACAGATTATGAGCTTCCAAGATGGGAAAAAAATGCTGTAAGCAACCACAAAGAGCTCAAGTACCAAGGAGTTACCATCAGAATCACACACACACACACACACACAACACACACACACACACACACACACGTGTCAGCTTTTGCAATCAAGAGATCATGGGTATCCCTTCCTTCTTAGCTCACGTTACTCAATTGTCTTCCCCTGCTAACTCCTCTCTTATCCCTGTCTCACATGAAGAGGTAACAGTTCTGGCCAAGGATTATCTCTCTATGCATAAGTGATTCCATTCCATCCCATCTTCTCCAACAAGATTGTCTCATCTATCATCCCCTCTCTCACTTTTCTTCAACCTCTCCCCATCTATTGGCTGTTTCCCAACTGCCTACAAATATATTCTTGTCTCCCTCATCCTCAAAACCCCTCACTTTGCCAAATCAACTGTGTAAATCCATGATTTAAAAATAATACAAATATATGAGAAAAATTCAGTATAGCGGAGGAAATTATCTACAGTAGTGATTAACAGATGGGTGTTATTAATTACATGCTATACTCAGTTGTTTTCACATTGCTAAAGGAGTACATGTATTAAAGGCTGTCTTAAAATCAATTTTATTAGTGTTTTTTTATTTTATATTACAGTCATTTCTAAAATATCTCCCCCTCTCTTTCTGCTCAGGAAAGAGTTCAGATTTGAACTCTCTTACAACCAAGAAAATTTGGCAAAACTGAATTGTATATACAAAGCTTTAACCTAGTAATCCCCTGACACTCTTCTCAGAGGAAGGAAGTAGGTTTCATTATCTGTTAACAGGACCAATTTTTAAATTACTCAGAGTTTAGTTACCATTTAGCAATTTCTTCACTTATATTACTACTATAGTCTTTTTGTATATTTTTTTTGTTCTAGTCATTTCATTTACAGTGGTTCACACAAAATCTTCCCACATTTTGCTAACTCATATTCATCATTTCTTACTACATAATGATATACAATTATATTCCTATACCATAGTTTGTATAGCCATTTCCACCAATTGATTGATACCTGTTTTGTTTCTGGTTCTTTATCACCACCAAAAAAATGCTACTGTGAATATTTGGGATATGGATTGTTGTCTGTCTTTGACCTCCTTGGGTAATATCCCCAGTAATATAATTGCTAGAAAAACTGATACTAAAAGTGTAGCCCATGTGTTAAAATTTGAACCTTATGAATTTCAGTGCTCTGGGACAAAGTCCAAGTCACCCCCACCCTAATTATTCTGCTCCCAGTCAACCAAATATCCATCTAAATGCTTAAATAAAAATGGTAGCGGGGAGTTTGCCATGCTCTGGGGGGAAATTTCTGGATTCTTTTCCAAAAAGCTGGAAAATTTTGTTGTCAGAAATAAACTAAATATTGAAATACTTCACTTGTTCTACATTTTGACAAGGTCATAGTTGTAGCCTTGGAATGCCAAGAAAAATGAAAATAAAGTACAGAAGAAGCAATAAAAAATTTAAATGTACTAGGCCTCCTTGGCTTTTGAGAAACTAGATGAAGAGCAAAAGCTTCATTTATTATCTAGCAACACATTTTGTGCTATTCGGAAAGCTAATGTATTGTGTGTTCCTGAGGTGAGCTGCAGAGAGATAGCCTTACTTTTGTGTGTGATGTATTTTGTTTCATGAAAATTAAACATTAAAACAGACATCCTTAAAAGTATATAAATTTATATTTTTTTTTATTTTGCAAAAGGGTTCATTACTATGTCTTTTAAATACCTACCTCTTCAAAGTGCATTTGTTGGAACACTAGATACTTTAAAACACCACCAAAAACACAGTTCACATGCAATTTCTCTGTAGCACAGGCATATATGTATGCTCTAGATAAAACCCAAGTCATTGCTGACATTGGGGGGAAAAAGCCAAATGCTTTAAAAAAAATCTGAACATAAAAGTCATGACTGAGCGTATGTTAGGGCTTAAAGCTTTCACTACCTATATTCACTTCTCCCCCAATCCCTATCCCAAACAATATTGTATATCAGTATTTCACATAAATACTCATAAACTCATGTATATAATGTTTCAAGTTTTCATCGTGACTCTGGTCTAGTTTCATTTCTGAGGCACAAACATTTTTATCAGAGCAAGTTTGGCCAAGCCAAGTTATAAATACGGGCAAAGCCTCAAAGGCTCCCATTCCAGCAGAAGAATTCAGGATAGAACTTGCCTAAAAGGGCAAAACCCTGTCTTATATAATCTCAGTGCAGCAATAACCCATTTGCTCTGCCTGAACCTTTTTGAATAGCCCTGTCCAAATGGATCTCCCACCCCACCTCCTAGCTTCTGGCTTAATATATCCTAAGTGCTCACTCAGGACAATGAAAGGAGGCTCAGATTAGAATTGGCTCACAGATAATGGTGCAACACAGAGTAGCGGTCATTTATGACAGCACAAACAACACAGGGAAATTCAGTAGGAAGAAAAGGTTGCACTGATTCTGAATAAAGATAATGTGAACTTTCTTCATATCCTTAAATCTCAAAACAGATTTTTTTAAATCAAGTATAGATCTGTAATAAAAATATTTAGGGAGAAGATTAAAAATGAAAAGTTCAGCCCACTAGGCTACCATTTTGGAAATGTATGATGGGGATTAGAAGCAATTCAGTTTAATCAACAAGTATTTAAGTACCTACTATATGCCAGGTATTATGGTAGCCGTAATGTAAAGAATGGTGAACTTGGACTTGAGAAGATCTAGATTCGAATCCTACCTCTGACACTTATTAGCTATGTGACATTGGGCAAATCACTGAACTTCTTGGGACTTACCTACTAAGTCATAGTCCTATTGATGGAGAAATTGAATAGAGCCATCTAAGAACATGTTAATGTGTAGAAGATATCCATTTATGTGTATATATTATTTTGCAATCATTAATTTTCAACATGAATTCACTTACACACAGAAAATAGAATACCTCAGTGTCAATTCATTTTTTTACTCTTGAAGAAATGGAGGTGCAAAAAAAAAAGACACCTTGTTTCACAATCTCAATTCCTCTGTGCAACTAACTACCCTACTCTACTCACCTGCTCAGAACACCATTCCCCATAAAATTGCAGGACTCTACAAGTAATATAAAAGGCACATTGTCACATTGACCAAAACTCAGAATTAAAATAGTTTGCTATGACCATGTGATCTTTGCCATTTTTGTTGTTGTTCATTGTTTCAGTCCCATCCGACTCTTCATGATCCCGTTAGGGATTTTCTTAGCAAAGATACTGGAATGGTTTGCCATTTCCTTCTACAACTCACTTTACAGATGAGGAAATTGAGGCAAACAAGGTTAAATGACTTGTCCAGGGTCACATAGCTAATGTCTGAGACTGAATTTGAGCTCCTAAGCTTTCCTGACTTCAGGCCTGTTACTTCCACTGTGCCACATAGCTGTTAGTCATATTTTCAGTTTTGTGTTTGCTTGGTTTCTAGAGGTTATCCTATCTTCTTCAAGTTTCTATGTTTACAATTCAGTTAAGTTACACCATGTGAATGGCATTGCCTTGATTGTAGATTCATGATATGAAAGGATTGGTAGAGGGTAAAGTTCATTGGCACTAGAGTCAGAGGACCTGTGTAGACTTGAGCAAATCACTTAATTTCAAACCCAAGTTTCCTCATCTGTAAAACAACAAGATTATTCTATATAGCTTCTAAAGTTCCTTCTAATCTAAAACATCTCCAAAATTCTCTTGATGGAAAATGCTTTCCACAACCAGAGAAAGAACTATGGAGTTAGAATGCAGATCAAAGCATACTATTTGCTCTTTTTTCCCTCTGTTTTGTTTTGTTTCTTATTTCTTGTAGTTCTTCCTATTGGTTCTGATTCTTCTTTACAACATCACTAATGTGAAAATATGTTTAATAGGAATGCATGTGTCAGCCTATGTCAGATTGTACACCATCTTGGGGAAGGAGGTGGGAGGGAGGGGGAGAAAATTTAAAACTCAAAAGCTTATGAAAGTGATTGTTGAAAACTAAAAATAAATTAATTAAGAAAAATCAATAAAGTTCCTTCTAATGCCAGATCTCTGATCTATAAGCATCATTAATTGGGTTAAAGATGATAATGTGCTTTTCCATGTAAGCATGCATTTTTAAGTAAAAATATAACTTTTTGCTTAAATAAACATAATAATTGAGATAGAACCAGAGTACTGTTGAACCTTAAATATCTAGTCCAATCCCTTCACCTCATTGATGAGGTAGCAAAGTCCCAGAGAACTTGAGTGCTGCCCAAGTTCATTGAGTTATTTCAAATATATCATTTTGAGTGAGAGTTTAAGAAATATGAACACTTAGGTACCATCATAAATCTTTATTCTCAATAATAACATAATCTAATTCTGATTAATTCTCTCTTTTTCTTTTTTTATACCTCTCGTGATTTCATCAGCTTTCATGGTCATCTCTATGCAAGTGATTTCCAGATCTATATATCTAGCCCTAGCTTCTCTCCTGAGCTCCAGTATTGCAGCACCTTTTTATTGAACATTTCCAATTAGATGTCCTACAGACATCTCAAACTCGATATATACAAAACAGAATTTATCATATTCCCTCTCGGTCCCACTCCTCTTACTAATTCATCTATTTTTGTGTAGTCACTCAAATTTTTGACCTCAGAATGATTTTTAACTCTTTACTTTCCCTTGCCCCTGTGTTGAGTCAGTTGACTGGTCTTGTTAAAATCTGCCCCATGATGTCTCTTACACACCTCCCCTTCTCTTTACTCACATGACTAACATCCTAGTTCAGATAAGCATTCCCCTTCACTTGGATTATTAAAATAGGAAGGAAAGAAACAAGCATTTATAAAGTTCCTGCTTTGTGCCAGGCATTGTGCTAAATACTTCGCAATATCATACTTGATTTTTACAGCAACCCTAGGAAGACGGTGCTTTCATATCCCCATTTTACAGTTGAGCAAACTGAGTAAACATAATCATTCTTAGTAAACTAAGTAAGACAGAAATTAAGTAAAATTGTTCAGAGACACAAGGCTGGATTTTAACTCATGTCTTCCTGATTTCAGGCCCTGTCTCAGGTCTCTCTCCTTTTCAGTCACTCAGTTTCCAAAGTGATTTTCCTAAAGCACAAGTGTGACCATATCAATTAGCAAACTTCATTGATTCCCTATTGCTTCTAGGATCAAATATAAACTCCTTTTTTGATATTTAAAGGGCATCCCAACCTGATTCCATCCAATTGCTGATATTGGTTCCTTTTACTGTTCTTCTCCCATGACATTTCCTCTCCTATCTCTGCATCTTTGCACAGGCTTCCCTATGCCTGGAATGCCCTCCCCCCCCCTTACCTCTCCCCCTTAAATCCCTAAATTCCTTTAAAGCTCAAATCAAGTGTCCCCTCCTAGAAGAAACCTTTCCTCATTCCCTCCTTCCACCCAGCTGCTAGAGCTTTTAATTGAAATTACTTTGTATTTACTTTATGCATTCTTTGTATAGCATTTATGATATATTCTATTTCCCCTGAGGGCAGAAACTATTTGGATTTTTTTATCTTTGTATTCACATTGCCTATCATAGTGCTTCATATATAATAGGTGATTAATAAGTATTTAATGATTAGTTGGTTTTCTCTGACATATTAGAAGGACAAGGCACTCAAAAAGTTTATAACTTTGCTGTAATTTACCATAATTTCTTCTATCCTTGCACAAGCATTTTAAAAACAAGAATAATTTTACTTCAAAATTTTTCATCCTATAATATCTATTTTCTTTACCCCATGGATAAAAAATAAATCACTGCATCACACTGATACAGTTTGGTCCTTCAAGTTAGTCTTAAATTCTCTGAGCAAATTTCTCATTTACCCAGAACCTTTTATTGGAATTGAAAGCTAACACTTCAAGCTATGACTTCAGGAATTTAGGACAACTTGTCACCAAAAAACAATTTTAAGTGCTTTTCTCCAGCCTTTGAACTTTCTTAGTGAGGAAAAAATCTTGAACTGCATAGCTATAATTTATCAAGGTAAGGCCATGTTTGCATTCCAAGTTCTTTACTAATATCTACTGCTTCATTAGCCCTTTATGACAAAGAAAAAATTATAGTCATGAGGCACATATGTATAGCAGCAGAATAATGAATACCTTCATTTTCTTATTTCATTTGGTAGCTTCTAAGTTGCTCCACATTAACCACTTCCCTCATATCTCTGTAAATTAACAATATGGCCTTCAGTAAAGATGTACCAAGGGCAGCTAGGTGGCTCGGTGAATAGAATGCCAGGCCTAAAGTCTGGAAGACTCATCTCCCTGAGTTCAAATCTGGCCTCAAACACTTACTAGCTATGTGACCTGTGCAAGCCACTTAACCCTGTTTACCTTAGTTCCTCATCTGTAAGATGAGCTGGAGAAAGAAATGGCAAACCACTCCAGTATCTCTGCCAAGAAAACTCCAAATGGAGTCACAGAGAGCCGGATTCAACAGAACAACAACAATGGTGTACTATCACCCATTTCTGATTTTTAAAAGGCTCTTATCTTTTATTCAGAACATAATATTTTAAAACATACTTAAGTAGAATATAGGTTTAGAAACAAACATGCAAAACAATCACTTATAGGTGAACACTTCAAGTGAAGATGCTGATATTGGTTCCTAATTCTCTTACCTCAATTATAAAGGAATCCTTTTGTGGCAATGGTATTGGGTTGCATGTGAATGCCCAAATAATATCGACTAAGCCCTATGTAGCTTTTACTTGATGCACTTTTCTGATTCAGGGAACATGAGTTGACCCATGGTATATCTGAGTCTGCATAATAAACCAATGTATAAACGGATCCTATTTGTATATTTCAGGAGAAAATTCTATATTCAATTTTAGAATATAAACTCCTTTAGAGAAGAGATTATTTAGTTATTTGTGTTTGTATCACCAGAGCCTAATACAATGCCGGAACATGGTAGGTGTGTAATAAATGCTTAGATTAGAGGTTGCTGGATGGCTCAGTAGATAGAGTGCTGGACCTAGAAACAGCAATGCCCAAGTTCAAATTTGGTCTCACTTACTAGCTGTGTTACTCTGGTAATACCCTTAACTTTTCTTTGTCTTAATGTGCTAGAGAAGGAAATGGCAAACCAGTATCTTTGCCAAGAAAACCTCATGAACAGTATGGTCCACGGAGTCATGAAGAGTCAGACATGACTCAACAACAACAAATAAATGCTTACTGACTGACTGATGATAAACACACTAACAACTTGTATAATAGAAGGAAACAAATATCTCCTGACCTCTCTATATTTTTCAGTTGTTTCAGTCTTGTCTGACTCTTTGTGAGCCCATTTGGGGTTTTCTTGGCAAAGATACTGGAGTGGTTTGCCATTTCCTTCTTTTTACAGATGAGGAACTGAGGCAAACAGGGTTAAGTTACTTGCCCAGGGTCACACAGCTATTAAGTGTCTGAGGCCAGATTTGAACTCAGGAAGATGAGTCTTCCAGACTCTAGGCCCAGGACTCTATCCACTGTGCCACCTACCTTCCCTGAGATCTCTGTGTTAGTCCCCATTGATCTTCCTACAGTGACACTGAAGAACTAATTCCCAATTGGTCAAGATTTAATTGTTGAGTAAAAATAGAATTAAAAAGAACCAGTCTATTAATATCCCGTATTACCTAGCTAGCCCTTCAGATTATTCTGTCCTTCAGTCTGTGTTCTGTTTACAGCTTTGTTTCTTTTGGGTTCAAGTGCTGTTTAGACTCGCAAAAGCTCAAGATGACTGCAACAGTGGCTCTTGTCATCCAATCGTTGGTGATCTCCTAGTGGGTCGCAGTGCCCAACTTACAGCCTCCTCTACCTGTGGATTGGACGAACCACAGAAATACTGCATCATAGGCTACCTGGAGGTAGGTTGATTCTATTTTTTATGGAGAAAGTATTAGTGAAATGGAGAGTTTTTCCAGGATGCCTATAGACATTGCAGAGAAGACAAAAGTAAACAATGCGACCTTCATTCAAGTGGAAAGTAAATGTTGCCAGGAAACATCAAACTGCAATACAACTTTGATTAACCAGAATGTTTGAGAATCAAATCATGAGATGATAGATTTAGAGATTAGAAGAGCCTTAGCGTTTCAACCCAACCCCAACATTTTATTTAATTTTTAGTTTTGTTTTAACATCACAGACATTTACACATTGCCCCCTTCATGAAATGTCTTCTTGTAACAAAGTAGAATGGTTAAATAAAATTAATAATACAATAATACAATGAAAGTCCTCTATTTTTTTTAATTAACAGACATCTACTTATTTTCTCTCTCTCTTCCTCCTCACCCTATTGAAAGAAAAGGGGAGAAAAGCAAATTTCTTATAACAAATATGCATAGTCAAGCAAAACAAATCCCCCCATTGGCTGTACACAAAACTCTATATGTCTCGTTCTGTGCACTAAATCCATCACCCCTCTCTAACGGATAGTATATTTTATCATCAGTTGTCTGAAATCATGAATGGTCATTGTACTGGTCATTGTTCTTACAGCTTTCAAAGTTGTTTGTTTTTACAATGCTGTATAAATTTTTCTCTTGTTTCTGCTCGTTTCATTCTTCATTAGTTCACAGAAATCCTCAAAATTGTTCATTTTTATATCATTGATACAAAATTGTTCTTATTTGGCTTCACTCTGCATCAGTTGGTATAAGTCTTCCCATGTGTTATTGAAATCATCTATTTTCTCATTTCTTATAGTACAATAATATGCTATCACATTCATCTACCACAACTTATTCAGCCTTTCCTCAACTGTTAGACAACTCAGTTTCCAGTTTTTTGTCACCATAAAAAAATTTGCTCTAAATATTTTTGTATATATGGGACCTTTTCCTTTCTCTCTGATCTCTTTGGAATACAGCCCTACCCACTATGTACCTCAGTCAAAGGGAATAAACTGTTTATTGACTTTCTGTGTATAATTCCAAATTTCTTTCTTGAATGGTTATATTCATGCACAGCTCTACCAACAGTTTATCAATGTGCCTGTTTTCCATAGCCCTTCCAACATTTATAATTTTCCTTTTTTATAATCTTTGCCACTCTGATGGGTGTGAGGTGGAATCTAAGAATTGCTCTGATTCGCATTTCTTTGATTAATAGTGATTTTGATATTTTTTTTCATATGGCTATAAATAGCCTGGGTTTCTTCCCTTGAGAACTATCTATTTATATCCTTCTACTATTTGTCAATTGGTGAATGGTTCTTTTTCTTATAAATTTTAATCTGTTTCTTATATATCTTGAAAATAAGACTTTTATCAGAGAAACCTGTAGCACAGATTTCCCCCCAGTTTATTGTTTCCCTTTTTAATCTTAATTTTATTGGATTCATCGTGCAAAAATCTTTCAGTATTATGTAATCAAAATTATCCACTTAATCATCTATATCCCTCTCTATTCCTTGTTTGGGAGTTAACTTTTCTCCTATGCATAGCTCTAATTTTTCTACAATGTTCCTTCCTGATATCTGCTCAATTTCCATTTCTGATTCCACTCCCTGAGTGGACTTGAAAATCTTTTTCATGTGAATCCTTGTTAAAAATTCTTCTTAAATCCACTTCTCTAATTTACTATCTTAGTGAGCCCAGTGAAGTGAACTTAATTAAATCTTCCCTTAATGAATGATCTTGTAGTGCCTCTGTGTCATCACAATGGACAGTAGTTCTCTGTATTCCTTTCCTCTGATTACTTTCCATCTATTCTGCATATATCTTGTATGTATTTAGTTATTTCCATGTTCTTTTCCCCCATTATAATGTGAGTTCTTTCAGGGCAGGGACTGTTTTTGCCTTTCTTTGTATCCCCAGTGCTTAGCACAGTGTAAATTCAAAATGCTAGTTGACTAACTGATTATGTAGCAACATCATGGAGATGGGAAAGATTAGATTTATTGTATACTACATTGAAAGGTCATTTTTGCTCTATTCCTTTCTATTTTTTGTTGTTTTTTTTTTTTGCTTTACTTTGTTTTGTATTTTGGCAACTAGATGGTACATAAGATAGAATGCCCAGGCCTAGAAATCAGGAAGACTCATCTTCCTGAGTTCAAATCAGTCTCAGACACTTACTAGCTGTGTGATCCTGGGCAAGTCACTTAACCTGCTTGCCTCAGTTCCCTCATCTGTAAAATGAGCTGGAGAAGGAAATGGCAAACCGCTCTAGTATCTTTGTCAAGAAAATCCCAAATGGGGTCATGAAGGGTCAGATATCACTGAAAAATGACTCCAATTAATTTATTTTGTTTTGTCCAATGAATCTCTGGCAAGAGTTGGTTTTTGTCATCATCTATCCCCTTTATCACAAAAAAAAAATTAGTTCAGGAAAAACAAAAGCCAGGTAATTAGGTAGGCAAAGGAAAGGTTAATCAGTTGAGCAATCAAGCAAGCATTCATTAAGTGCTTACCATCAAGCACTGTCCTAGGTGCTGAGGATATGAAGACAAAAATGAAACATTCCCTACTCTCTAGGAGATCATGGTGTCAGAAATAAAGGCATATATAATATGTGCAAATAAATACATAGGAATGGTATTAACATTTGGGAATATTAGGAAAGGTGGAACTTGAGCTGAGGTTTTTTTTAAATAGTTTTTATTGATGTCTGTTTTTAACATTACCATAATTTTCCCTAGTATCCCTCTCTCTCCCAAAGAGTCATCCCTTATAAGAAATGGCATTTTTAAAAATTTTTATTTATTTATTTTGATTTGCAACATTCACTTTTCTTAGAGTTTGAGTTCTAAATTTCCTCCCTTCCCTCCCCCTTCCCCAGGATGGCCTGCAATCTGATATAGTTTATACATGTACAATTATAGTATATACATTTCCACATTAATCATGTTGTGAAAGAAGAATCAGAACAAAAGGGGAAAACCACAAGAAAGGAAAAAAAAGAGGAAAAGGTATGCTTCAATCTGCATTCAGACTCCATAGTTCTGTCTCTGGATGCGTACAGTATTTTCCATCATGAGTCTTTTGGAATTGCCTTAGTTCATTGCATTGCTGAGAAGCACTCAGTCTAGATCACCCCACAATCTCGGTGTTACTGTGTACAGTGTTGTCTTGGTTGTGCTTACTTCACTCAGCATCAGTTCATGTAAGTCTTTCCAGGTTTTTCTGAAATCCTCCTGACTTGAGCTGAGTTTTGAAGGAAACTAGAGATTCTAATAGGCAAAGGAAAGGAGAGAGTGCTTTCCAAGCATTTCCAGCCAATATAAAGATATAGATATAAGTGATGGAGTATTTCATCTGAGGAACAGCAAGGAGGCTAAGTTGACAGGATCGTGGAGCAAAATAAGGGGAATAAAACAACAAGGCTATAAAACTAGGTTGTGAAAGGCTTTAAATGTCAGAGTTTCTATTTGACCCTAAAGGTAATAGGGTGTGAATCAATCAGACCTGTGCTTTAGAAATATCACTGGCAGCTGGATGAAGATGGCTTTGTCAAGGTACTCAAGGGATATGTGAGGAGGGAGAGAACACTTTCAGATGGAGAGATTAGAGAAGCCTAAACACAGGAAGTGGTATCTGAGCTGAATCACTAATTGAGTTTCCATAGTAGTCTAGAATTCAGCAGCAACAGATTGCTTTGCTGAGCCTGTTTTTTTTTTTCATCTAACATCAGAAGCATTTAAGATCATGGAAGGTGTTCTTTTTAAACAGAATTTTGATTTGATCATCTTTATGCCATTTGCATGAAGGGTTTTTCATCAAACACATTTATTGGACCCTACAGAAACAGCAAGAATTTGTATTTCTAAAGCACCTTAAAGATTATTAACGGCTTTCCCCATAAGAGTTCCACAATATAGGTAGTGCAAAGATTATCATCCTCACTTTACAGATGAGAAACTGAAGCTCAGGGAAGTTAAATGTCTTGCCCAAGGTCACACAGCTAGCAAATGTTTGGGCCAGGAATTAAATACAGATCTTCTGGCTCTAAGACCAGTGCACTTTCTACCACACAACACTATTTGGATACTTTATTAGTTTGGCATGAGTTTCTTATTAAGTTTCTATGGTTCTACACTTCTGTTGTGAGTTTCCCCATTACCAGAACTCTTCAAATGGAACCTGATTGATCACTTATCAGAGATAATAGAGAAAGTTTTGAGGGGAAGCAGGGATTGAACCACTCTTAATCATAAGTAGCCAAGACAAAGGTCATTCATTTTTGTTCATGAACATTTTTTTTGCCAGTACAATCATCTTATGAGAGAGGGGAGGTGTGGGGAGAGGGAGAGGAAGAAGGAGGGGAGGGAGAGAGAGAGAGAGAGAGACAGAGAGAGAGAGAGAGAGAGAGAAAATAGAAGGTAATTTCAGAGGAAAGAGTATTAGCAGGGCACACTGCTAGGACCAGCAACCTCCACTTCAGTCAAAGAGTCAGGGGAACACAACATTTATTACTGAGTTTTGGTGACAGGAATGTACACTTTCTATCTGAAAGAATAATAATAATAGCTAATGTATATAGTGCTTTAAATTTTATAAAATACTTTATATATAGTATATTGTTTGAGCCTCACAATAACCTTATGAGATATAAGTACTATAGATACAGTTATGCCTATTTTACAGATGAGGAAAATTAAGTCCAGGGAGAAAAAGTGGTTTATGGTGATCATACAGCTAGAAAATTATTATTGTTCTGACTCCAACTCAGTGTTCTGTTCATTACGGTTTGTTGCTTTTTGTCAAAGTCCCAATCCCCCATTGGTACGAGGTAGCAAGAGGTAGCAATGGTCCAGCTCCTGAAAAGAGCTTTGGAAATTAAAAATATTTTTTTCTTGTATTTCCCTTTGAAGTAACATGAAATTGTATATTGTTCCCAGAAATTATGGGCAACTTAAACA